AGGGCCCTTCCCATTCTGCTCTGGGCCTGAGCAAGCCATTGGTCTTTGTTCCCACAGAGGAGATTTCCGACCTCACCGAGCAGATTGCGGAGGGAGGAAAGGCAATTCATGAGCTGGAGAAAGTCAAGAAGCAAGTTGAGCAGGAGAAATCTGAACTGCAAGCCTCCCTGGAGGAAGCTGAGGTACACAGCATTATTTATTGCTCCCTTACGTGTCTTGGATTTCTATGTCATTTGTCTCATTCCAGATAAAAGAGGAAAAGAGGTTATATAAAAGTAGAGATATTATCTAATCACAGCACTCTTTTTCACTCAAAACTTCAGGTTCAACATTTGTCACAAGAAAAGTATTCTGATTTATTTTTGTCCAGGCCTCCCTGGAACATGAAGAGGGGAAGATCCTGCGCCTGCAGCTTGAGCTCAACCAGGTGAAGTCTGAGATTGACAGGAAGATAGCAGAGAAAGATGAGGAGATCGACCAGCTGAAGAGAAGCCACCTCCGAGTCGTGGACTCCATGCAAAGCACCCTGGACGCTGAGATCAGGAGCAGGAACGAAGCCCTGAGGCTGAAAAAGAAGATGGAGGGAGACCTGAATGAAATGGAGATCCAGCTCAGCCATGCCAACCGCCAGGCTGCCGAGGCACAAAAGAACCTGAGAAACACCCAGGCTGTGCTCAAGGTCTGTTCAGCAAAGCTACTGAGAGAGAGATCCCTGATATTTTTGGCCCTCAAACACACACTGATGCCTTGTAACTCCTCTTGTCTCTCTTACAGGACACCCAGCTGCACTTGGACGATGCTATCAGGACCCAGGATGACCTGAAGGAGCAGGTGGCCATGGTGGAGCGCAGAGCAAACCTGCTGCAGGCTGAAGTGGAGGAGCTACGGGCAGCCCTGGAGCAGACGGAGAGGTGTAGAAAGGTGGCTGAGCAGGAACTGATGGATGCCAGTGAACGTGTGCAGCTCCTCCATAGCCAGGTGAGGCCCTTTGTTGAGAAATGGCATTCTTGGTAAGTGGGAGAACACTTGTGTGCTTTATTCCAGTCACCACAGGAGGCTCAACTTTGAGAAAGAGAGTCTCGTTTTCTGAAGTATTCATTAAGTTACTAAAAGCGATCTTTGCTGGAAAAGTGTATACACTGGCTGTTTTCCAAGCTGCATAAAATGCCACCCATGCTTCTGCTTTACTTGCATGCTCAGATAATCTCCAGAGGAAAGACATTTTAGTCACAGAGACATGCTAAATGCTCGAGTCAGGAAACTCTGAGACCACACCAACATTCATTCCTTGTCAGTTGAAATGTAGCACTGTGGAATCCTCATATTACATCCAAAATGTATTTTTTCATTAGCAAGAAAGTGGGAATGAACTCCCGACTCTAATGTAGTTCATATCAAGCAGGCTTTGACATGAGCTACATGTCATAACAGTCATCAAGTTGTCAAGTGCTGAAATCTATGGAAAGTGTCCAGTTTCAAGTGCTGAGATGATTCTGGAAGGGATCCAACCTATCTTCATTCCAAATTTTTCTCTTTTTAGTTGCTGAGGGTAGATTATGCTTCCCTAATGATGAGGAGAAGGCATTTCACTGACTTCTTTCAGTCTTTGTTACTTTCCTGTGCTAGCCTCAGTAGCTAAGATGTGGCAAATAATGTATTGCTAAGCACTTTTTTGAATTAATAAAATTAATTCTTGGAGGAAGACCAAAAAAACAAAACAACAAAACCCTTCTTCCCCAGTGATAGGAAATTTTTCTAGAATAATCTCTGATATCAATTTTTATCATAATTATATCTGGAATTATTCAAAATCCTGTAATACTCTTGATTTCAAATGAGCTAACAAAAACAAATCTCCGATGCTGCTCAACAGAACACCAGCTTGATCAACACCAAGAAGAAGCTGGAGACGGACATTTCTCAGATTCAGAGCGAAATGGAGGATACCATCCAGGAAGCCCGCAATGCTGAAGAGAAGGCCAAGAAGGCCATCACAGATGTGAGTCGGGGCTCCTTTCATTGCTGGTGGTCAGTGTATTCTCCCCAAAATGTCTC